CCCCAAAACCCCAAAACCCCAAAACCCCAAAACCCCTGAGATTTTAAATATTTTTGAAAAATTTTGGAAATGGGTTTTAGTGGGAATAATGTTTGAGGGTTGAGATCGCGAGAGTGTAAGGAGGGGTTGGTGAGAGAGTTTAGGAGTAAGAGATGAGGAGTGGAAGGGCTTGGGTACTTGGAAGAATCTGGAATAGTGCTTACTGGATGCTTGAGAAGGGAGGCATATAATATCAGGATATTTATAATCAAGCTTATCTAATACCAAAAATATATCGCTACAATATTCTCTCTCCTAAGTCCCAACACTTTCTCTCACCCTACTCTCTATTTCTCTGCCAAACTCCCAACTTTTCACTATCCTTCCCAGTTCTATTCCTTCTTGCTCCAATCTACCCTCAGTATTCTCTGTGTCCTCACCACAGAGACACATTCGAGGCACCATGAAGAGACCCTAGGCAGCCTAGACCAAGTAATGATCCACCCAGACCTTCAGGAGAGCTTGGAGAGATATAGATGTCCTAAAGGGGCCTTGGCAATTGAGTTTTGAGACTAGTAGTAGATTTAGATGCTACCAAGTTGAGGGCGTAGAATCTGTAATTGACGTGCATGTGCCTTGCACTAAGGAATTGAAGTTTTTGGCAAAAATTCTTTAAGAATCTTATTTAGAAGCTGTTTTAAAGAGCTGGAGAAGTAGTCAAAGGCTTGAAATAATATTATATAGATGATAATTATATTAAAGGTGGTTTTATTTAAATAACCTAATTTTGTGATATTTTGTTTAGATTTAGAGTCAAAATTTCAATAGTCTAATTTTTAATTCATTTTTATTAATTTTGCTATACAAACCTTCAAATTCTAAGGTGAGTGAGTCTCTATAAATATTATTATTAACTTTTCTTAGATTTCAGAGCATAAATATATTATTTATTTATAAATCTTACCTAAAAGATATAAATAAACATTAATAATTTTACAATGGAAGATTCCCAAGAAATCATTGAAACCAAGAGACAGGAAGTATTGAAGTGGGTTTAGAATTATTCTTTTAGGAACAGTTTCATTAGAATTATAGTTAATCTAATTTCTTTTGTTTTTTACATTTCTGAGCATTATTTTCGCAAAAATAATGCTCATTAAATGCAGATTCTCTCATTTGTAAATTTGAGAAGTATTAATTTAATACTAAAACAAAGATTTCTGTTGAATTTTATTAGCAAGTACAAATTGTTTATAGATTTATATTTAAAGAAAAGTTTTGATAAACATTGAAGTTCTCTAACAACATTTAAAACAACTAGAAACTGCTCCTAACATTAATAATTACAGTTTTGAGAAATCACAAGAAAAATTGAGCAAAGAGATAGCCCTTGAAATTTGAAATTCTACTTATTACAATACTCATTTACAACAAATGAATGTGCGGCCGCTTGTCTTTGGGTCTAATTTGAACAAAAATGTGAAACTCAGTCCTCCACTGAAACTACTTTTTGAAGATAGAACTGATTTGCTATTCTCTAAAGCCCTCCGCTCAATAAGACTTTATGACATTAATTATTTGATATGCTACAACATTTTAGAACAAAAGAGAAGTTGTAGAGCCTTTATGAGCTGCTTATTTCCTAAATAAAGCAAGTAATTTTCAAGTAACTAGCTCTTGGGTTTCTCAAGTGAAGTTTACATCAAATTTAAACCATATAATTAAGATAAGTCCCAGAGTGTTAAATCTAGCTATTTTCAGTGGCTTTATTATAAACGAAAGACAACTGAAAAGGTTACTAAGTTCCTTCAAGCATGTTCATAGATTATTCCTAAAATACTGCATAATATACCTCCCTAATGCTCCAAACTTCTCAGCTTCTCTGACTAATTGGAAGATCACTAGGCTATATTTGGAAGAATGAGACATGTCTACTGGAAGAGATGAGGATAAAGATCCTAAAGGATTTCTCAATCTAATCGAGGTACTTACCACCTGTTCTGATGTAAAAGTTTGCTTAAGAAAAGTGATAACAGGAAGCTCTGTTAAAGATTTGAGCAAGGCAAGAGAAATATTTAGTAAAAACGGATTTGGCAAGGTTCAGATTATAGAATATGAGTAAGCATCTGCCCCTCAACTGGTATTTTTTAATTTACTTTTTCATACTTAAGTTTTACCTTACTAATGAGTCAGGGGCTAAGTATTGATAAAAAGTATGGTTTCAGCTAGAAATTAAATTTTAGGGGTTTTGGGGTTTTGGGGTTTTGGGGTTTTGGGG